TTTTTTTTCACACCTCTATACATAAGTTTATCAAGTATCAATTTGTTCAAATTTTATTTGGAAATTTAACGAGCTTTTAACCATGTTTAAATTTGACTTTCGAATAAATTTTTTTAAGCAATTTGATTCATTTTACATTACCATATTTAAGAACAATGGGACCCATTATTATGACTGCAACCGATCCTGAATTTTTAAAGATCCTAAGCAAAATCTTAACATGGGACCATTTATATATACAAAAATAAATACTAATATTATATAGAAAATCATAACATGGGTTCATATGACAAGTAAATATTGAGATTTTTTTGACAATAGATTAAAATAGTTAAAAATTTAAAAAAATATTATAAAAAATAATTATTTATTCTATTTTTATGCACGTCTTTTTATAAAAAAATAAAAAATAACTAAAAAGGCTAATTTTTAAAATAGTCCTAAATATAACAGTGATATCACATGGAGATATCAGTTTTCAATGAGCAACAATTTTGATTTGCGATAAGAATCACAACATTAGAGATAAAAATCGTTTACTTAATCTTTTTTATAATTTGTTTTTAACCGATAACACTATGGTTTTATTACATATTTTTTACTGTGAAAAAAAAAACATAAAAAATTAGAGAAATAGAATAAGCCTTCGTTTGGGAAGCGGGTTGTCTTTTTTGGCTATTTTAACCTGGGGAGGCTAAAATGCCTCGCTTGGGAAGGGCTTTTGGCTTTTTTTGATTTTTTTGACTTTTTGTGAGAAAAAGAATGTAATAATTATGAATTGGACGTGATGTTTTGTCTTATTGGGCTAAAAAGCCTATTTTTTTTTTTGTGACTAAAATAGCCAAAAAGTGTAGCTTTTGGCTTCCCAAATGAAGCCAAATGGTTGAGAGTTCGGTGGAGAATAATTTAGAGGGAATCCACCGACCATGTAAGCATTAGCATTAAGTTCTCGTTTGAGAACATGTTTTGACAACATTACTTTTTAATTTAAAAGTTAAAAAGTCATTAAAAAAATTAAAAAATTAGCAACTTATATAAAAAAGTCAAAAAAAAAAAAAAATTCTCTACTTTTTACATATCTTTTCGTCAAAAATCAAAAAGTCATCCCAAACATACTAATTTTTTTTACATCATATTTTAACCAAAAAACTAAAAAATTACTAAAAAAACTTATTTTCAAATGAGGCCTAAGTACTAAATAATCATCTTGGAACCTATTTATTACCCACAAAGCTCCTACCGAATTTCCCCATGAAAATGGTAGAAATCTCAAAATTCTACCAAAATTTATCAAAGGTTTCATGTGGGTGTAGAACCCACACAATATGAGTCTCATACTTATATAAGATAATTAATTAAAAATTTAGGATCTCTATCATTACTCTTCCCCCATTCCTCATTCCTTCAAATCCCCCCCCCAACTTTTTTTTCTTTTTTTTCCTTTTTTCTTTCCTATAACGCCCTCAAAATAAGAAAAATTATATTGTCGTAGCGCTCTCAATCTCGAGATTATAAGAAAAATTAAGCCTTATAGAAAATATCAACCCTAAGGCTTAATTAATAAGAAAAATTTATGTTAGAGATCCAAAATTTCACATTTTTATATCCTCAAATATCTTATACATGGATCTTATATCTTAGGGCATTTTTCCCCTTTCCTCAAATATCAACCCTAAGGCTTAATTTCATCAATTATGCACAAGTAACCCCATTTCAAGACCTTACATACACAATGGAGCCCAAATAATAGAAAACCCCTCTTTCAAACATTTCACATTTCAAACCCTAACTTTACCCAAAATTCTCAAATCCCACCATTTATACAAAAAGACTAACATTTATGTCAAAACTCATATTAAGGAGTAGATTATTCCTACCTTAAAGTTAGGAGCTCACAGGAGAAGAAGGAGAAACTCAAGATGCTCCAAATACCAACTTTTTCGGATCAATAGATAGCCCAAGCAATGCCCTAGCTTTCTTACAAAGGGATTAGGGTAGAAAACCTCTAGAACATGGAGTATTTGTAGAGAGAGTGAGAGAGTAGAGAGAGAGACAATCGGATTTAGGGTTTGGGGTGAAAAGGAGATGAAAAAGTGATGTAAAATCACACTGCTGCGATCTGATATACACGGGGCACTCGAGCGAAAGACTGGTCGCTCGAGCGACCAGACACAAAATAACCTTGCTCGAGCACAAGAAGTGTCGCTCGAGCGAACAATTCGAAACTTCACGTCAGCCACTCACGCAGACGCATGCTCGAGCACAAGAGTTCTCGCTCGAGCAAAGGAACCAACAACACAGGGCTCACTCGAGCGTAAAAAAGCTTGCTCGAGCGAAGAATGCCACCCTTTAGGTCTAAAAGAGACGCAGACGCACGCTCGAGCGCAAGAGTTCTCGCTCGAGCGAAGAGACACAAGACACAAGGCTCGCTCGAGCGCAAGAAAGCTCGCTCGAGCGAAAGCTGCGTCTGAAAGAGAAGCCTGAAGACCCACAATACTCATTTCGAGTGCACAAACCCTTGCTCGAGCAAAGAAGCAAATACCCAAGGCTTGCTTGAGCGCAAAAGGCCTCGCTCGAGCGAAGAAGCAAAAACTTAGGCAGCAGCCAATTGTTAGAATTCATAACCAACCTGTACCAGACTCACCCAACACACCCTAAAACTCGAATACAAAGAATTAAAGGATGAAAACAAGATATAAACAACAACATACAACCACAGAACCCGAGTTTGGAATACAATAAACAACGGGGAAAAATCGGGATTGTTATATTTTCCCTTTTCACTACAACTTAATTTTATTTCATCTCTCACATCTCTCTCTCTCTCTCTCCCTCTCTCTCAATTTGTGAATTAGAGAGGAAATGGGTATCTTCTTATTGATGACAGGAATAGCATAAAGCAAATGCCTTTATAATAAATGCATAAACCAATCATTTATAGAGAAAATGGGTATCTCTCTCTCTCTCTCTCTCTCTCTCCCCCTCAAAATAAATGCATAAACCAATCATTTATAATATCCATAGACATTAGAAAGTAAAATATATTCCTTCATCAGAGTGTTTCTTACAAAAGGTATTACAGGTTGACAACAAAAGTAAATGTCGTACGGGCTTACAACTTTCCAAGTCAACACTTGGTTTCAACGAAAGAGAGTTCTAACTCTAAACATATTAAGCCCTTGGCTTGAATTACATGTAATACATAAGATAACCACAAAAATAAACCTTCAGCTTCTAAACCTCCCAAGCTACATCCTTGGAGGCGGCTTATCACCTGTACTTGAAAATGATGTCCCATATAGGGTGAGCCAAAGCCCAGTAGAGATACGCTAAACCAAATATGAGAAATAACTAAAACATTAGCATATGATAAATGTTTAACTCATATAAACCAACGTACATCTCTTCCATAACCAATCCATATTCACAAGTGTATTTCAATCCTTTTTCCGTTTCATTATCCAAATCAATTCATAGATATTGTACATTGTTTATCCGAACAGTTCAAAATGAGACTACAACTCATGCTATCAATACTTCAATCATAATCAACTCAAAATGAGACTACAACTCATATTATTAGCACTTCAATTCATCTATGTTATGCAAACATAATTAAGATTTCGGGACTTTCACCCTAGACACTTCGGCCAACTTAGTTATCAATGGAGTCCATCCCCTATCTCCTCCCAAACCATGGAGTACATTCCCTATCTCCTCCCAAACAAGATACATATGCAATGTATTTAAACGCTTATCATATACAATGATCAAGTTAAAGCACATATACAATGTGTTAATCCAACCGTCATATTCAGTGACATATTCCAATTGATTAGTTTCAATCTACCTAATCATCATGCAATTCTACAACAATCATGGCTATCCTCCACCTATAGCTCAAAACAGTTATTTCTAAACAGATAATTAAATTTATCAAACATATAAATTAATACATTTTCATAGGTGAGTGATTAATCATTCCAACTACACCATTCAATCTCATAATTTCCCAATTTCATGATTTCCAACTCAATTTCATATTTCCACATATTATCAAATTAATTAATTAGATTCAATTAGGGAATTTTCTCCCTTTTCTCAACTTCAACCCTAAGGCTTGATTTCCTCAATCTTACACCAATAATCCCATTTTCCAAGGTCTCACTTATACATGGAGCTTAACCATTGAAAACTCATAGAAAGGAGTAGGTTATCCCTACCTCAAGTTTCGGAGCTCAAAGGAGAAGAAGGAAGAAACTCAAAGTGCTCCAAATCCAACATTTTTCAAATCAAAGTGTAGCCGCTTTTTTGGGTGGATAAGTCATAAAATAAAAAACAAAAAACTTACACCACTACAACGAGCATACCCCAGGCCCTAACCAAACTATACAAGAGACAGGACCACGAACAACAAAACAAAAGGCCAAAGCCAAACCAGATTAAAAAACTACCAACACATATCTAACTAGTCCGAAATAAAATGCAAGAAGAAACAAACAAAACTAGAAACCCAATCAAAACAGCATAATATCTGCCAATGTGTTCATAGGCCGCATGCAGGTTTGATGAGGGACATGAACACACCCATATGACAAAGTAGAAAATATCCGACAATAACAAACAGAATACCCCGTGCACATCCCGCACGGGTGGGCCATCTAACAAAACAAATTAAGTAAAACAGAATAAAATAACAACTTTCTTCACACACAGAGGCGCCATCAACCGCCATCAACACGATCATAGACAATTCCACAGCTTGCACTAACCCAGGCTGAGCACCGAAACAGACAGTATCAACACGGAGGGTACACTGATGCCACTCCATACATCCAAAACAATGATTAGACATTATAGTAAACCCTGTCAAGAGCAAATACCAAGACAGGATTAGCCAATCCACAAACCAATAGCAAACATAAAACAAAGGCATATTGCTTGTTACAACACACATATAAATGCTCTCATCACTCAACCCACAAATATATATACTCTCATCACTCAAGAAACAATGCTCCATACACCTGCAAAATAAAGATACATAGAATATATAAAAAAACATGTTAGCCCCTCTCAATATGGCTAGTGATTGTGGGTTAGGATTAATTTTGTTCCTCACACTATACTCAGCCCTCATAAAATATGGCACACACTCAAACTGCTCCTTTCTAGTGGGCCGCAAACCTATATCAATAACAAACATTAGGAAACCCCACAATGTATTTGCTTTCCTTCACTCAACCAACATTTTGTGAACTCACATCCCTCACAGCAGGTTCAGCATGTTTCAGCACAGCATGAGGAATTCTCCACGAACTCAAGTACCATCGATCAGTATGCTGTGAATTCAAATTTCTTATCTGCATAACCCTGAATCGAACCATGTCTACAATATGCTTTATGACCACTTCTTCAGGGACCATATCCTTACCAAAGACTCTATTATTCCTAGCAATCCATAACTGGTACACAGTAAATGTAAAGGCAAGCTTGGTAATAATAGTCCCTAAAGATTTCCCTTTAACAGATGTTGCAATAATCTGAACCAAATCACCCCAAGGAATTGATGGCCAATCAATATTCATCTTTCCTTTTATACAGGTCCACACTCTATCAGAGAATGGACACTCAAAGAAAAGATGGTTGCGATCTTCACAAAGGTGCTGGCAGAAGACACACTCACTAGTTTGGGTCACACCAAATTTTTTTAACCTATCACCAGTGTTCAATCTGCAAAGTATAGCCATCCACACCACAAAGCTCACTTTGGGGATATTATGAAGCTTAGACCAGTTCACAGGAACAAAATGAGCCCTCAAAACATGCCAAGTGGACTGGATAGTGAATTTACCACTAGCAGCAGGGCTCCAACTCACATCATCAGACCCACCCGAAGGGAGAAAAGTAGGAGGAGTACTAAAAATGAGGTCCATAATCTCCCACGAAGAAGGAAAGGCCATTTCCAGGTAGTACCTTCCACAATCTCACTAACCTTAGCATCAATACCCAAAGCAGAATCATGAACAATTCTAGGCCCAAATCTATCCTACATAGATCCCATAGGGTGCCAATTATCAAACCATAGAAAAACTCTAGAACCATCACCCACCCTATGCTTGATTAAAGGGTAAATGATAGGCCTAAGAGAAAGAATTTTCCTCCAAACCCAGGAGGGGTCATTTGGCACCCTAACTATCCAAAAACTTCTACCCTTGAGGATATAAGATTTAATCCAGAGACACCACATAGATTGGTCACCCCCAGAACAGAGGAACCAGACATGTTTAGCAATAGCAGCTTTGTTCCACACTTGGAGAGATTTAAACCCCAAGCCCCCTTCATTTTTAGGGGATCACATTCTATCCCAAGACACCTTAGCCCCATACTTCTTCAGATCACACCCAGACCAGAAAAAAGCTCTAAATAGACTCTCCACAGAACGGATGACCTTCTTAGGAAGAATAAACAACGAAGTCCAGTACATTTGCATAGAAAAAAGGACAGATTGGATCAACTGGCCTCTACCAGCATAAGTAAGGCACTTATTAGTCCTACTTTTAATTCTCTTTGTGATCTGCTCCATAAGCTGATCACAATCAGCAGCTTTGAGTTTAGTATAGACTAAAGGAACCCCTAAGTACCTCACAGGCAAAGCACCTTCGCTGAAATTACACACCCGAAGAATCTCATCCCTCAAGTTCTTATCACAACCCGAGAAGAAAATGTGGCTCTTATTAGGGCTAGGGGCAACCCAGAAAAGTTTTCAAATTCCTCTAAGCCAGTTTTGATAGACTGGATAGTGAACACATCCCCCTTACAGAAGATCATCAAATCATCTGCAAAGCACAAATTAAAAATCTTCGTTTTCTCACACCTCCAATGAAATTTGAAATTAGGGTGAGAGGCCTTCTCAGCCAAAATCCAGGAAAGGATCTCCATAACAATAACAAAAAGATAAGGAGACATGGGGTCTCCTTCTACAACCCTCTCTCCCCCCTGAAATAGCCATGCAGACTCCCTTTAATACAAATGGAATATGTAGGGCTAGTCATGCAGGCTTTTATCCAAAGAATAATATTAGGGGGAAACCCCATAGCATTTAAAACATCTAGAACAAAGTCCCATCTGACGTTATCATAAGCTTTCATAATATCCACTTTCATGGCACACCTAGGAGAAGGTGAAGATCTATGATAGACCCTCATAAGCTCTTGTGAAAGAAAGATATTATCAGCAATTCTCCTCCCAGGGACAAAAGCTGATTGCACAGGTTCAATGAGATCATGGAGAACAGTCTTAATCCTATCAGCAATGATCTTCGAAATACACTTATACAAAGTATTACAGCAAGAGATAGGACGAAAGTCTCCCACTCTTTCAGCATTGGGGGTCTTAGGAATAAGAGCAATGGAGGTACTGTTCACTTCCTGAAGGAGCTCCCCCGATGTAAAAAAAGATTGGATAGCATCAACAACCTCTCTCCCCACAATATCCCAGGCTTTCAAAAAGAAGCCAGCAGAATACCCATTAGGCCCAGGGGTCTTATTTGCTTTAAGGGAACGAAAAGCATCAGTGATCACTTTCACAGTAACTTCCCTAGCAAGGATATGATATTGAGCTTCAGACACTCTTTTGGTGACCAGATTACTAATCCTATCATACCCATTGTAATGGTAATTAAAAGGCTTCCCAAATAAACTAGTGAAAGAGTCCGCAAAGGATTTATGGACCTCATCACTTTTAGTCACTCTATCCCCATTAGGAAGGACAACACTATGAATCCGCCCCCTATTCACATTCCCCTTAATAGTTCTAAAGAAGAATTTGGAATTCCTATCCCCTAAACCTAACCACTGGACCCGAGATTTCTGATGAGCAAGGCTTTCCTCAGCTTTACTGAGATCCACATATCTACCATAGGCAGTGCTTTCCTCCTCTTGAAGAGTTAAGTTCATCGGATCTTTATCAGGCTTAATCTGAGAATTAAGTAGCTGATCCTTTGCCACTCCAACTCTGGTAGAAATCTCGCTGTACTCCTTTTTGTTCAAAGCTTTTAAAACAGGTTTTAGAGATTTAAGCTTTTGACAAACCCTAAACATAGGAGAGCCCCTAACATATTTTCTCCACATATCATGCACTTTAGGAAGGAACTCAACATGGTCAGCCCAAAAATCAAAAAACTTAAAAGGTTTATTAAGTTTAATAGCATCATAACCAAAATGTACAATCACAGGAGAATGATCAGAGACTCTAGGAGGCAAAAAGAGAGCATGTGAGTTAGGATTAACAGTAAGCCAACTCTCATTAACGAGAACCCTATCAATTTTAGAGGTAATAAAATTGCCACCCCCCCACCTCGGCGCTTATTAGACCAAGTAAATTGACATCCTTTATAACATAAGTCTTCCAACTCAGAATCCAAAATCAGATTATTGAAGGTACAATTTTTACTATTCCAACCCTCCTTACCCCCCATTTTTTTATACGAAAACCGAACAGCATTAAAATCACCAAGGAAGACAGAGGGGTGACTAGCATGGTTGATAGCAATTTTTTTTAGATCACAAAAAAGAGGAAGTCTCAACTCATGCTTATTTTCTGCATAAACAAAAGTAGCAAAAAAATTGAAGTCGCTTTCAAAAACAGTCACCTTAACAAAAATGAATTGGTTTGACTGTTGAACCACCAAAATATCCTAAAAGTTTGGGTCCCAACAAATCCAAATTCTAGGTGGCAGATCTGGTTGTGAGTTGGACAACAACTTCCAATTTTCAAAGCTTTGTTCAAAAATTTTAGCTTCATTTTCCAGTTTAATTTTTGCCTCCAAAACTCCCATAATTTTAACATCTTCTTTTTTCACAAAATCAATGACTTCTTTATGTTTTGAAGGGTGGTTAAACCCTTCGACATTCCAACAAGAAAGATTTGTAGACATGATTAACATAACAAAAATCTGGACACAACCAGATCACCACAAAAAAAAAAATCACTAATTTACCTCTTTTTCTTCCTTTGGCTTCCTGAGTTTCTGCCAGAGGACCTATTCTTGGTGGAACTGCCCACATTTTTCCTACTATCTCCCTTTCCTCCCAGTATTTCCGATGAATTAGCTCTTACTGCCTCTTTTCCACCCTGTATTTCCAGGGAATATGCTCTTTCTGCCTCTGTTCCCCCATGCTCAATGCTGCTAATAATTTCTGCTACTGCGGGGTGAATGAGCTCCACAACCTTAGAATGGAATGCAGGTATCTGATCAGTAGCAATAGTAGCAATTTTTTCAATCTCAGAATGATCATGCTGAATTTCAGCCACCATGTCATGCCCCTATCAAAGTGTAGCCCAAGCAAAGCTCTACCTTTTCTTCAAAGAGACTAGGGTACAGACATCTAAGAACTAAGTGTATTTCTAGAGAGAAGGTGTATGTAGAGAGAGAGTGTGCCAGATCTAGGGTTTTGAGGAAAAAAGGAGATGAAAAAGTGAAGTAGAAACACGCTACTGCAACTGATATACTTGAGGCTCGCTCAAGCGAAGGAGTGGTCGCTCGAGCGACCAGACACAAAAGAACCTCTCTCCAACACAAGAAGCGTCGCTCGAGCGAACAATGCAAAGTTTCAGGTCTGCAACCTAGAAGCATGCTCGAGTGCAAGAGTGCTCGCTCGAGTGAAGAAACTCAAAACATAGTCCTCGCTCACTCGAGTGAAGAAACACAACCTTCAGGTCAAAAAGAGACGCAGACGCACGCTCGAGCGCAAGAGTGCTCGCTCGAGCCAAGAGACACACCGCTCAAAGCTCGCTCGAGCGAAGGAACCCTGGCTCGAGCGAAGGAACTAAAACCCAAAGCTCGCACGAGCAACAAAATCCTCGCTCGAGCGAAGAAACCAAAATCTGGGCAGCAACTATTTATTTCAAATCACACCCAACCTGTTTCAAACCTACCCAACCCATCTCAAAAATCAAATACAAAGAATTTAAAGGACGTAAACAAGATAAAGACAACAACAACCATGACAGAACCCAAGTTCGGAATACAATAAACAATGGAGGGAAAACTGGGATCGCTATACCACACTGGTGGTTCATCATCATCTACTGCACACTTTGTACAAAAACAACACCAACCATTTAATATACTATTTATAAGACTCATATGTAATATTTCATTTTCATTGTATTTAGATTATAAATTTAAATACCGATTTAAAAAATTAAAAAAAAAAAACTTATATTTCATTCATATTATTTAGGGAAAATTGGCCTAACATGTAGCACCTGTATCCTTCAAAGCTTATGGGAAAGTGTATTCGAATCCTTTATTTTTATTTTGAAAATCTTTGGTGTTATTATGGATTGGTTTTGGAGGAGTATAATCTAATTTAAACTTGTTGGGTTTGGTTGTTCATACTTGTTCTTGTCAAAAGTTCCTTGGAAACTTAGAAATTCTGTTCTAGGGTCGACACCAGCCTTCTTAAGGGTCGACCCTTACCTGTTGGCGATGTTGCTGGAAAATAGGGTAGACACCAGACTGGGGAGGGTCGACTTCTTATGTCTGTGTGTTAGTTGCTGGAAAATAGGGTCGACCCGTTCCTGTCTAAGGGTCGTCCCCCCCTTACTTGTGCAGATTGTCTTTTCTACCTAAGGGTCGACCCCCATGCTCGAAAGGTCGACCACTGCGTGTTTTTTTTCTCTCCAGATTTTTGAGGTCCAAATGGGTCCTATCTAAGGGGGTTTTTGGGCCTATTATTTTATTTGACCTTACGGCTATTTCTTACTACTATAAATAGGCCCAAACCATTTTTCTTTCATGATTTTCATCCCTTTTTCCTCTTAAACCGTGATTTCTCTCTTTTCTCTCTAAAACTCAAACTTTTTAACTTAAATTTCTAGATCTACTCACCTAGAGTGACCTTTTCACCTTGCTCCTTTGAGATTAAGTGTAGAGCTTGTCAAGGGCTTCATTTTG